TAGAGTACCCGTTAGCTGATGACTATCGCAGTGCTGCCAAGACTTGTTCCACGGCGTCCCACCCTGCTTTCAAGCTAGCATGCAGGACACACTTTGTCAAACTGCGCTACGCATTGGCTAAGGACTCAGGCAGACTCGAAGGTATGCCTTCACAGGTTTGCTATGGCAGTTCCAATACAAAGTCGCGAACCCTCGACACACCAACCCAATTTCTTCGTAAGACAAGCACGTGAGAACCCCAAGTGCGAGCATTATTTGGGGAATGCTCCCACTGTGAACACATCATCCGTCCCCTGAACGAAGCCACAAGTCACGCCGAGGTCAAACTCAGGAGAAGAAACTTGCACACTCGACAGCCTCGCGGACAAGCGACAGAAGCGTCGGGTGGACGAGGAGTGATGGCCGAATTTTCCACAACCACAACACTTGGTAGAACGCGGGAGAACAGGGTATGGGGAGGTCCTCCTCTTCCTGATAGTCCTCCTCCTCCACCTCCTCATCCTCTTCCATCCTCCTCCTCCTCGTTTTCCTCCTCCTCCTCCTCCTCCTCCTCCTCCTCCTCTTCCTCCGCATCATCCTCCTCTTCCATCCTCCTCCTCCTCCTCCTCCTCCTCTTCTTCCCTCCTCTCTCCTCATCCTCCTCCTCCTTTTCCTCCTCCTCCTCCTCCTCCTCTTCCTCCTCCTCCTCCTCCTTCTCCTCCTCCTCCTCCTCTTCCTTTTCCCCCCCCTCCTCCTCCTCCTCCTCCTCCTCCTCCTCCTCCTCCTCCTCCTCCTCCTCCTCCTCCTCTCTCCTCCTCCTCCTCCTCCTCCTCCCTCCTCCTCCTCCTCCTCCTCCTCCTCCTCCTCCTCCTCCTCCTCCTTTTCCTCCTCCTCCTCCTCACCCATTCCCCCCTCCACCACCAACCACCATCATCATCATCATCATCATCATCATCATCATCATCATCATCATCATCATCATCATCATCATCATCATCATCATCATCATCATCATCATCATCATCAGCATCAGCAGCAGCAGCATCAGCATCAGCATCAGCATCAGCATCAGCATCAGCATCAGCATCATCATCATCATCATCATCATCATCATCATCATGATCATGATCATCATCATCATCATCATCATCATCAACTCCTCCTCCTCATCATCATCATCACCACCACCACCATCATCAACATCATCATCATCATCATCATCATGATCCTCATCCTGATCCTCATCCTCATAACCATCATCACCATCATCATCATCATCGGCAAAATCACCACCATCATAATCATCACCATCAGCATCGCCATCATCATCATCCGCAACATCATCAAAATCATCATCATGATCATCACCAACACCACCATCATCATCAGCAGCAGCATCAGCATTATCATCATCATCATCAGCATCATCAGCACCACCATCATTAGTATCATCATCATCCTTATCAGTATCATCATCATCGTCGTTACCATGATCACCATCATCATCATCAGCACCAGCATCATCTTCATCATCATCACCATCACCACCATCATCATTACCATTAGCATCATCATCATCATCGGAAGCATCGTCACCAGCAGCATCATCACAATCATCATCATCAGCAGCACCAGCTTCATCATCATGTTCATCATCATCAACTTTAGCATCATCATCATCATATTCAACATCATCACCACCACAATCAGCATCATCATCATCATCAGCAGTATCATCATCGTCATCATCATCATCACCAGAATCATCATCGCCCCCGTCATCACCATCATGAAACGCATCAGCATCAGCATCAGCATCATCATCAACAGCAGCATCAGGATCAGCACCATCATCATCAGCACCACTTCCATCAGCATCAGAATCATCACCCGCATCATCATCATCATCATCATCATCATCATCATGATCAGCATCATCATCACCACCAACACCATCATCATCATTACCAGCATCATCACCATCAGCACCAGAAACCTCATCATCAGCACAATCAGCATCGTCCTCATCCTCTGTCATCATCAGCAGTATCCTCATCATCACCAGCAACAGCATCATCAGCATCATCATCAGTATCATCATCGCCATCATCAGCAGCATCATCATAACCACAACCATCCGCATTAGCGTCAGCATCATCGTCATCATCGTCAGCATCATCATGATCACCATCAGCACCAGAATCGTCATCACTATCATCCTTCTCGCCATCATCAAATCATCAGCACCATCCTCATCATCATCGGCCTCAGCATCATGATCATCACCAACGTCATCATGATAACAACAACAACCATCACCATCGTCATTACCAACACCATCGTCACCATCATCTTTGTCATCATCATCACCAGCATCATCATCAGCAGCATCATCAGCGCCATCAGAATCCTCATTTCCACCCAAGCCAGAGAAGGATTTTGCGTTCGCAGGCCAGGCAACTGCACCAACGATGGACCGGCTCGTGCCCAGGAGCCGCCGGCAGCGGAAGAGGAGGAAGACCAGGCAGGAGAACACCACCGCCGAGCAGGAGCGGAGGCAGGGAAGAAAAAGGAAGGGAGGGAGGGCGAGAGAAAAGGCTTCGGATCAGATACATGCACATTGCCAACTGTTGTAACACAACACTGGCAATCAGGCGAACGCATCTGGCGGCTCTCATTCTGTTACAGGATTACGACCAGACCCCTCAATTTGCCCAGACATAAGGATCCTCCTCGTCGCTCCCTCTTCTTTTCCCCATCCTCTCCCTGGTCCTTCTCTTCATCCCTTTCTTTGCCTGATTATCACCCTCCTCGTCCGCCCCCTCTTCTTTTCCTCATCCTCATCCTCTCACTTAGGGCGCATTGTTTTTCTGTCGCGCGCGCCCCACTCGCGCGCGATCTGACGCCGAGGTGGCAACTGGATTTACTGCAAAATGCCAACGCAGCGGGCTGACAGACTAGAGGTTGCTCTAGGCCTGGGCCCATTTGCACAATCCCGCACGGAAGCAATCCTTCGGCGCCACCTGCACTGCGCCGCTAGCACACGCGACCCTGTAGCGACGCAGCGCGTCAAGCACGCTCGCTAGACCAGCCCGCCTCAGCAAGGCAGCGCCCGCCAGACAGGGTCTGCACGGCCTTCTTGAGCTCGGTGGCGTCGCGGCGGCCGACATTGCCGACGCGGCGCAGAGTGTTCTCGACGCGCCCCTCCGTCGATTCGGCGCGGTTGTCTCCCGCCACCAGCTTGAAGTACAGCTTCGTCTCCTGGACGGCCGGGGTTTTGCCGCGGCAATGGCGGCGCAGCGTGGCAGCCGTCTTCCGTGCCAGCTTGCTTTTCAGCAGCCTCGCGACGGGCGTGAACGCCTTCTTCTGGCGGTTCACTCCCGACAGAGAAGCCGCGCCGATCTCCTCGGCCGCGGAGTGGAAGGCGCGCGCGCCGTCCGGGGCTAACACGGCGCCAGGGCCCATGGCGCCAACCAGAGGGCCGCGGACCTCCTCGAGGGATTCAGGGCCGCCAGAGCCGCGCTTCGCCGAGGAGCGCCTCGCTTTCAAAGCCTTAGCCGTCCACTTCTTGGAGAACCTGCCCTTGCGCACGAGCACGCGCCCCGCGTGGTTTCTAGCACCGCCGCGCAACTTCTTGCAAGCCATGCGGGAGCTGTCTGGTTCGACCACGTCGTCCTTGAACACTGCCTCGAGGCCGTGCTCCACCTCCGTGTACGCCAGAGCTACCTTGTGGACATCATAGGAGTCTTGCACTTTGTGCACAGTGGCCCAGATGGTGTCGCCCTTCCCGCGCACGAACTGGGCTGCTGCGCCGCTGGGCGCCGCGCATCCAGAAGCACAGGCGGCACGCAGGCACACGATGCATTCGCGGTCGTGGCCGTTGGAACCGCATCGATGGAACGGCGCGAAGGCCGCGTCAGGTTTGGCCAAGCGCGGGCGGCCGCACTTCGCCCCCATGCACCTGAAGCCCTCTCCCTGCTTGACCATCTGCTCGCCGCACCGCCAGCAAGCGAACGACTTCGCCCCGCCCCCGCGCGTGATAACGCCCGCCTCCACCAGCATCTTCCTCGCAGCGTTCTGGCTCTAGCCGACGATCTCCTCGAACGAAGGCTACTCCAAACCACGCAGCGTGATCGCGTCGGGAGCGGCGGATGCGGCTTCTCCGCCGCAGGTCAGGCCTATCTGGTGGAACTCCGAATTCGCGCGGCGAGCCTTCTCGCCGCGGCTGGCGGCGCCCTTGCCGATGGTCTGCATCACCTTCGGCGGCTTCGCCTGGGCAGCGCAGCTGGCGGCGCCCTTGCCGATGGTCTTCATCACCCTCGTCGGCTTCGCCGTGACGGTGCGGCTGGCGACGCCTTGCCCTTCGTCCCCACGTTCTTCATCGGCTTCGCCCTGGCGGCGCGGCTGGCGGCGCCCTTGCCCGCCGCCACCGCGTGCCTCTTTGCGCCCGCCGTCTTGAGGTACCACTTCCGAGCGAGCCGAGGCATGGGCGCGGCGCGGCAGGCATCGGGGGGCCACGGCGACCGAGGGGCAAAGTCGCCTCGAGCAAAAAGCAGCAGCGGCATGAGCGCTGGCTGGGCATGATGGGCAACTGTCCAACGCACAGTGGCTGGGCATGGAGACCAGCTGACCCCTCTATTATTGTCTCTCTCCCGCCCCCCTTCTCTCTCTCTCTCTCTCTCTCTCTCTCTCTCTCTCTCTCTCCTCTCTCTCTCTCTCTCTCTCTTTCTCTCTCTCTCTCTCTCTCTCTCTCTCTCTCTCTCTCTCTCTCTCTCTCTCGCTATCACTCTCTCTCTTTTTTCTCTCTCTCTCTCTCTCTCTCTCTCTCTCTCTCTCTCTCTCTCGCACTTGGGCTTTTCGGGAGAGACCCATGCCTTCTCTCTGATACCTGCCCGAGACCATCTACAGAACGGCACCGCGAGGCCATTGGACATGCTGGATGGCATTGCGCGGCAGAACATAAGGGAAAGCGAACTGGCACCCCTCTGCGCGGCTTCCATCCGCAAGCGGTCGCGCAGCATCTAAGCGTGGCCATCGCCGATCACTTCCACGGTGATGCGCAGCCCACACTTGGCTGCGACGGCATTTGCTGCCGCGCGGAGATCGGCCACGGCGTCCTCGGGCGTCAAGAACATGGCACCGTCAAACATGCACGCGTTCACAGACACCCCGTGGATGGAAGCCGCCTCGGCATCCAGGTCTGCCAAGACCATGTCCTCGATCGAGCTCAGGGCGTAGTGGAGCTTCGATGCGGGAGGACAGCGGCGATTCTCAAAGCGGCCTTCCATGCATGTGAACTTGTCCTGGGCCAGCAGCAAGTCCACCGCCGTGTGCATGCCCACCGAAAGATTCCACAGGAACGGGAGGTCGCAATCTGGCTTGCCCAGGTGCACGCTCTTGACCAGGGGCTTCTTTGCCACCCTCGCGGACGCTGACATGTAGGCGGCGAGAGCCGAGCGCCATGCCTTGCAGTTGGCGGCAAACGCCGCGAGGGCAGGCAATTCCTCCTTCATCTGGCACACCTGCTCGATCTCCTTGACTATGAGGGCAACAAAGCAGTTGTTGATGTCAGCCTCGGCGAAACCCATCGTCCGCGGGCGACCAGGGCGGCCCTACGGCAAAAGTGCGGGCGAAACCGTTTCCCGAAACCCATCCTCCAATTAAAAAATCAGAAATCAAGCCTGGAACAAACTCAAGGCCCAAGCATTCGAAACGCCGTCTTGGTCTCCCACGATTCCTTCCCGCCCTGGAAGGAAATCGATGGCTCCAGCGACAGCGCGACTGCCCTGTCGTCGCGGACCATCCACTGCAGGGAAGGGCGCTGGGCCAGGCGACAGCCAGGGATGCCGAACTTGCGGCAGCACGGCACCTCGCAATGGTCGACCAAAGCCCGAAGCCCAAACGACGCACCCCAAAATTGAATATCGAAAACACGCAAGGCACAACATGACATTGTTTTGAACCCAATGGCCGCGCGGCTTTGGTCGGCCAGTGAAACCTCGATCTGCGCCATGCCGCCGCCGCAGCGGACGCTCCGCTGCATCGGCATCTTCGCGTAGCCTGCGTCGGCAATCTCTCCCGAATCCACCTTCTCAGACAACCTCTGGTAGTTGCACGTCCCCATGAGAGACCCGCACTGGTTGCGGACGGCGATCTCTGACGCGTCTTCGGCGTCGCCGCCCTCGGGGCGATCCCGATGAAACTCCCTGCATTCCCGCGCGCTGCGCCAGGGGGCGAACCCTCCGCCGAAGACTGCGGCGCCGCCCGCCTGCTCGATCGCGTGCGTCTTGATGATGCTGTTGGCCGCCTGTTTAGCGTGAACGTCGCGAAATATCTTCTCGGCGCTCTCCGTCGCGGCAGCGCCCTCCTCCGGCGCTCGGAACGACTCTGGCACATGGAGGCCGCCGCTGGCCATGGCGGCCACGATGAGCCTGCTCTCATTGAGGTTCTCGGGCGGCGGAGTCATCACCACTGCACTGCACTCCGACGCAGAGTGCTCTAAAATCCACGGAATCAAATTTGTATCCAAATAAGCCTGCCGAGCAAATGGGCTTTCCAAGAGCTCGCCCAGCTCGGTGTCCTCTTTGAAGATGCGGTTTTCAACGTCGACCTTCGCTGGGTCACTGGTAAACGTCGCCAGGAGCTTCACAACCCTGATGCGGCGCTCGAAGGCGCACAGCTTCCTGACGTCATCTGGGCTGCCTGACATGCTGGGGAAACCCCAGTTAACCTCCCAGAAGCGCGCCGCGCGGTTCCAGCGGTAATAAGCAGTGATCGTGCCGAACAGGGGCCGGCACATCAAACGATCTCCGCTGATGAAAGACTTCATCACGTCCTCGACCATGGGCCCCCCGGGGGCGCACTCCTGAATGGTAAGGATTTCCGCTGGCGCGAACTGCCCCCCCTGCCTGCGGGACTCGTCGGGCTCCTGGAAGCACCGCGGAGAGACTACCTCGTGGTGCCCCCGCCACACGTTGTCTCTCAACAACGTCCGCGCCGACTTCGAGCTCCCACCGTCCGCGTACTCGAGGAAGAGGACTGGAGGCATCACTTGGTTCATGAAAGCAAGTGCTTCCAGGGAGAGCTCCAGCTTCCACCCCGACGTCGCCCCCGCGAATCCTGCGCCCATGATCGGAGTTTGTCCACCGCCGAATCGGGAGCCCGAACCACGATGCTGCACGGGATGAAGAAGCACGATTTGTGCTCGATCGACTTCGCGACATTCTGCATGCGCTCGGCGCTGTTCTCTGGCTTCTCTGGGCGAATCTTAACACACGCATCTTCGAAAACGACCACGGTGCTGGGCTGCTCCGGGCGCTCCTCCTGCTTCCATATGCCGACCATTTCCACCGGCGAGCCATAGGAACTCCCCCCAACGAAACGGATTGCAACCACCGACATGTTTTTGAAGGCGCCCATGGCCCACGCAGAGAATCCCACCGGCTTCGCACTGCGGAACTCCTTGGTGTCGATCGAAGTAATGGGCGCCAGGGTTGACGCCCTCCTAGGTTGAGCTAACATCACATCGAACACGGCCGTCACGTCCTTGGTCACGCAATTGCCCATGATATCCGCGAACATGGCGGCCGCCTTCAGCAATGCCAACTCGAGCCGGCGCACGCCGGTCCCGCGCTGAACTCCTCGATCAACTGCAGGGCGCCCTGCTTGCACATGAAGACGCCGTCGTCGTGGGCAACGAGGAGCGGACCGAATACAACTCCCGCAATGAGCATTGCCACGACATCGTTTTGAAGGCTCCACAGGCGGTCTTCCATCGCATATGGAGAGCGATGACATTGAGGGCGCCCTTCTCGCCTTCGTCAGGCAACGTCGGCCGCTGTGCGATTAGCTCGGCCGCCTTGGCGCGGACCTTGGCGACGACGCTGAGCATGTTGTCGGGCTCGCCCTCCACCTCGTGAGCAAATATGAAGTCGCCACGCCGCCGGAGAATTCGCTGAAAATCCGCGGGCCCCCAACGTTCCAAAATGCTCTCGGTCAAATCATCCGCGTCGATCTCGCGCTGCAAATCCGGCTGGCTATCCGGCACGGGCGCGTTCATGATGGCCGCGACTAAATCTCTGGAATATTGGTTTTCAGCAGGGTCGCCGGCGCCCGCGGCGCTGGCCGCGGCGGCGTCGGAGCCCGCCGAGCCCATGCCGCCCTATGGGTCCACGCACTCCGCGAGGGCCCCCGCGTCGGGAGCGACGTCCTGCAAGAGAAACCACATGTGGCGCTGAACGCCCGGGATATCATCCGCAGAGCAATATTCCTGCGAAGCGTACCTCCCGCTCTTCCGATCTGTCACTGTGACGCCATCGCGATGCACGACGACTGCCACGAAGTGCCCGACGCGCTGTTTCTGGCGGGTCTTCCTGGGCAATGGCTCCCACTTGACGTAACGCCCAGGGCTGTTGGGGCCGCGCGGCTGAGGAAGCACGCGCACGCCACGTTCTGCCAGCCAAGCGTTTCCGTGCTCCAGGGCGCGGAAATGCCCTGCCATGTCGGTTGGAACCTGTTCCCCCAAGGCGCTGAGAGCCCAATTTAAACGCGTGCAGGCACCTTCGCTTGCCCCCTCGGCACCGCCCATCGGGTCGCAGCGGCGCGCCCCGACGCCCTCTGCAGGCGAGTGAATGAGATCGCGCCGACGGACTTCAATGGCGAAGCCGTTGCAGGGAAGTGCGACGCCTGGCAGTCATCGAGTATCAAAGGAATCAGCTTCTCCGCAAGGGAGCTCCTCTTCCCTCCCCAGGCGGCTATCCATGACCATCCGCCGACCGAGGGCAGCCGCGCGGAGCGAGTCCAGATCGCAGTTGTTCAACACCTCCCAATGTAACGCTGTCTCCGAACCGAAGGCATCGCCCAGCGGGGGCGCCGCGCGCGGCTGCGGCGTCTTGCTCTCGAAGATCAGCGCCGGGGGCGGCCGAAGGAGCATGAGGTGGCGCAGATAGCCAAGGTCCTCGTCGGCATGAACTGCTTGCAATCGCCGCACGGAAAGTGCGAAGGCCTCTTTGTCGCAGTACTTCCCGCACCTGGCCTTCAGGTACAGCGCCTGCTGTGTTGTCTCATACTCCACGAGGCGATAGGCGCCAGGTTTGACCTCCGACGCCTGCGCCAGCCCGTCGCGCCGATTGTCGGCACCGCTGTGGAAAACCTTCGCGTGGGCTACGATCGCGAAGCCCCCGAACGGGAGCTTCTCGCCGACGCGTGACTCGAAGGCGTCGACGGCGTTGTCGTCGACCGGAAGGCTGTGGAGGTCCTGGGCCATTTGCCGCATCAACTCCCGTCGGCGCGCGGCCGATTTCGCGATCTCCGCCCGAACCACGTCCTCGCTCAGAAGCGCTTCGAACAGAAGCCCCTTCTTCTCGGAGAAGCACTGTGTGATTTGGTGATCGCCGCCGGGAGAATGAGTGCAAGTGTCGAATGTTTGGTGGTCGTCGAACTGGGCAAACTGCCAACCGTAAAGAAGAACTGGGGGGCCCGCTGGCTGCTCGAGGAACACGAACAGGAAATCTCAGCTGCGGCCTCCATAGACGCGCTCTAAGTCGCGCAGGTCCTCTTCGAATGACTCCATGTCATCTGCGCACCACCCCATGCGTAGCACATTGTAGAGCGCCCACTGCGCAATCAGGAAACCGTCGAACACAACGGGGGCTGCTCCGTAATCGCCAGTTGGCGCGGGCACGGGGCTTGGCGTGCTGGAGACGGCGGGCGCGGGCGAAGGCAAACACCGTCGCGCGGCTGCTCGGATGCAGCTCCAGCAGACGACTCTGCAGAAGGCTCGCCATCGACGCCAACGGGAAAATGCACCGCACATGAGCATAGAAATCTGCAGGAGGAGGAAAAGGAAAGGGGGGGAGGAGGAGGGAGGAAACTAGAGGAGGAGGAGGAGGAGGAGGAGGAGGAGGAAGGGAAATAGAGGAAGAGGAGGAAGGAGTGACGGAAGGGCGGGGCCCAGACGCATGCTATTTGGGCTTGCCGGGATTTCGGCGGAGCCCCGGGACCCGGGGCTCCGCCGAAATCCCGGCAAGCCCAAATAGCATGCGTCTGGGCCCCGCCCCCGGGAGGGAGGACGACGATGACAACGGGGCTACTCACATACGAGGCCCCGCGCGATACTTCCTGCAAATTCAAACCTGAAGGGCCAAAAAGTGACAACAGTTACAGGAAACGAATGACCCGCTCGGACTACCAGCGGAGCCCAAAAGTGACGACAATTATAGGAATTGCATGACCCGCCTCGGATTCGAACATGAAGTCCGGGCCCCTTAGGGAGGGGGCTCCTGCAGGACACTTCCTCAAAATTGACTCACAGACTAGGCCCCCGCCTCATATTGCCTCCATATTCAGGCCTGGGTAGCCCAAAAGTGACGACAGCTATAGGAATCGTATGACCCGCCTCGGATTAGTAACATAATCTGCAGGCCCCTTAGGGAGGGGGCTCCTGCCAGAGCCTCACAATTGACTCACAGACTAGGCTCCCGCATGATACTTCCTCCACGTTCAGGCCTGAGTAGCCCAAAAGTGACGACAATTACAGGAACTGCGTGACCCGCCTCGGATTCGAACATGACGTCCGGGCCCCCTAGGGAGGGGGCCCCCGCAAAGGACTTCCTCACAATTGACTCACAGACTAGGTCCCCGCCTGATTTTTCCTCCAAACTCAAGCCTGAGGAGCCCAAAAGTGACGACGGTTACTGGACTTGTACGACCCTCCACAGATTAGTAACATGATCTGCGGGCCCCTGAAGGAGGGGGCCCCCGCTTGAGACTTCCTCGCAATTCACTCACAGACGAGGCTCCCGCCTGATACTTCCTCCATGAGCAGGCCTGATGATGATGGTGAATGATCGATGGATGATGGTGTTGGTGATGATGAAGCTGATGAGGACGATGAGTGGTGATGATGAGTGCTGATGATGACGAGTGCTGGCGACGCGATGTTGACAATGACGATGCTGCTGATAATGAAAGATGATAATGAGTGGGGGATTAAGTGAGTGAGTGAGCGAGTGTCTGAGTGAGTGAGTGAGTTTGCGAGAGTGAGTGGGTGTTGCTGTTCCTGTTCCTGCGCAGGGTGTCCAGAGAAAACAAGATCCCCACTGTGGATGTGGGGAAATAAAGAAGAAAACTTGTTTAAATCATCCAAACAGCGGGTCGGACGGGACCCCCCCCTAGGGGAGTCCACAAAAAAACACACGCGCCCGACAATGAGCACGGCCCCACAGTCCGCGAGACCAGCCTCGCGATACAAACATTCGACAATACGCACTCTCGAAACCAGCGTGGACTCACTTATTTCGCTCCTGACCCCTCCGTCCGAGGCCGCGATCTGTTCGTGACACGGGCCAGCGGCCCTCCAGACCCCGAGCCCCTCCAGTGGCCGCGGCCCGTCGCCGGGGCCCAGGGAGGGAAGAGCGCCGGGTTGCACGGCTGCGCCGCCACGCCGGACCTGGAGCCAGCCTGTCGCTCAACATCGGTCTCTGAACCCCCCGCAACAGGGGCCCCCAACTTCGCTCTTCGCGCAGCGCGAAGTGCGAAGTGCGAATAACTTCGAGCTCTCGCGCCGCCCCCCCAGGGAGAAAAGCAGGAGGAGGAATCGGAGCCCAACCGCAAAGCGCGAAACGCGAATACCTTCGCGCCCTCGAGGGCGCCCTTGCTGCAAGGACCTCCGCTCTGACCAGTCGCCCGGGCGGCGCCCAGCCGTGGCCACGAGGGGCGCCCTCGATGCCTCTCTCTCAAGAATCCGTCGCAGACCCCGTGGCGCGTTCGAGGGGATGACCACCGGGAGACCTTTTTATTTATATATATATATATATATATATATATATATATTTAAATATTTTTAAAGGGTTTAAGGTTTAGGGTTCAGGGTTTCTGTTAGCGCAGCGGCCGACAGTCCTGGCAATGCTGCCTCCCCTTCGGCAAGCTTGATTGGGGGGGGCGGTTAGCCGACCCGAGCAAGCTTGGCGGAGGGAGCAGGAGGTGCAACTTGTAAGCGTCCAAAAACCCGGATAGCGAAGCCAAGCGCGGAACGCCGAACTGGGCGCCGGCGGTAAACCGTCAACCTTCGTTTTTGCGGACTTTGCGGTCGACTGTGCAGGCTTTCCAGCCTAGTCGAAAGCAAGAAGCGGGCGTATCGGGAGTGGGCGGATGCCTCGACGATCCAAACGATCAGAGGCGAAAGCCAACTCTTATTAGGAGGATGAGAGGTCAAGTACACACACACGGTGACCAACTCTTATGAGAAGGCGTGAATGAGCACAATCACAATCACATCCCATCCTGTCCGAAATACGCATGTACAACCCGCGGCAAGATTACAATCGTATGCTCAACGGCCGTGATCTCGGCATCAGTCACTGTTGAAGTTGGATCGATCAAGAATGCCGCACTATACACCTCCGTCCAAATAATCTCATGGCTGAGTGGTTGCCTTGAGATCCTCGAAACCCGCCCAACATCGATCCAGCACCCGACCCCCACGCCGTCGCAAGAAACGCCACCGTCGAAACCAGCTCTGATGGCACAGACGCGAAACACCTGTTGTAACTGAGGGGCGTGGAGCCCAATCCTATCTCGAATCACTGGTGGCCCGACACGGGCCTCATGAGTGAGTACATCTGCACGCGTGTTCCATTCCCTAAATGTGTGGTCTACAACATCCCTCCCCTGACAGGCAGGCCTAATTCCAAACTTCTGACACATATTGTCCAGTTGGTTTATCATTCTGTTGACCCTTTCCTGATACGTACGATTAAGCACCCTCCAGACACCCTGCAGCCAAGACACCACCAGAAGACTGTCCCCAGATATGTACACAGGGATCCCAAATGAGTCGAGGTCGTACTCAACCTCCTTCATGTTTTGTAACGCAAAACGTTTGGCCATTTTGTCATTGAAAGCCGTCGTGCCCTCTTGAGCCCCATATGTGTGTAGGTCGTTTTGTGTGATAGTATGTACCTCCTGCAGGGCCCCACCTGTAGTACCGTACCCTTTTCTTTTCTGGAAATAACTCAGCATCGTCCGTGTACACATGTGTTCGCAGAACTGAACGTACGCAGCATCTGTCGGCACAAAGGTCTCCCACCACTTGAGTCCGTAGAATTCGCAGAAAGAAAATAGCCAGCATCTCTGTCCGATAGCTCGACCTGAGCTAACGTGTCTCCTTTTCAGCTGCGAAGCCTCCTGGAAGTGGAATAACCCTCGCAGGCACTCAGACGCATCCGTCCTGAGTCTATCCCACAGTGGTCCATATGCGACCGTAGTCATGTGGTGGTCTCTCCACGTACGTTGTGTCGAAGATATTTCCTCATGAGAAGAAGTACATAACATAGTAATGAAGTCAGCTGCATCCTTAGCGGAGTTCCAAACCATACGGAGAAATCGTTGCACCAAACTCGCAAATCCATAAGATCGAAACTGCTCTCTGGCCTCGTGGTACCTTCGGCGGTTCCAGTCCGCCATAGTCTCATCCCCCCTCCTCGGCCGTCGGAACATACGGCACAGACACCATCCCTCGAAGGCATTGAGTGTGTGAAGCGAGGAAGCATCCGCCGCACATGTCTCAAGACAATACAACGCCATACTCTGCACCTTGTCTTGATAACGACAAAATTTATCACGGACTGCTACCGCTCGGTTACGAAAGAAATCCGACTGTCCTATGAAACACGCACGAGCCTCCTTGATTCGATATTCAACATCGGGATGAGCAGGCACAAGGTACGTGGAGAAAATCTCATGACCCAATACTTTCATACTGCATACACGTCGAAGTCTAAATTCCTGATACATCGAGCACGCAGGTACACACAAATCCTCGCTGGCAAGTATGTGTCCGTCTCCGTCCACTCTCGCATTAACCCCACATGTCATGTACAACAAGCTGCTATCCTTCCATCTCATCCCCCAGTCATGTAGTGGTAGTGTTAGATCGTGCATCATCTGAGCCAACACAGTTGGGGATGCAGAGACGAGGTAGCAGTTGTCCGCCCACACAAAGTGGTTCACTATTGTCCGTCGCTCATACTCACCACAGACGCCCTCCAGTACATACTCAGCACAGACGCCCTCCAGCACAACCTTCGTTACCGCCGGGAGACTCGTAGAGCTTCCTAACTCGACCTAAGTTGAGAAAACAGACAGCACTTACCAACAATCTGACTTATAGTCAATAGTTTTTGACCTCTGAATGCGACAGACGGACGCGTCTGATGTATGCGAATCGACTCTGTCATTAGCAGCCCTGCAGCCCCCCTACAGCCCGAGTTAAGTGCAGAAAACCGACAGCACTTGTCAGGATAATTCGAACAATAGGAATAGGTTCGCGGACCCAGTTCGGGCAGCAGATAGAGTTCAGAGCTCTGTATTCGATAGGCGTACGCGCCTGATGTCTTCAAATCGATTCCAGTAATCACCAGCCATGCAGCCCCCCTAAAT